AGCGGACGAAAATGGTTTTTTAACGTATTCCTTTATAAAAGTGTTTGAGATTTTCTTCTATGCACTTCCACTCTGTTATTCCACAACTTTCTTTGTCAGTAAAAGCCTTTAGGATAATTTGACGTGTCTCTCCTTTTTATCGATCCTTTTTGTGCTGGTTTTCTATTTCACTTTTCCCAGACTTTCTCCTCTAAGCTGTAACCTTCTACGATCTATCTTCGTAGTCTTTTGCGAAGGAGCTTATACTTTAGATTTGCTCATTTATGTTATTTTTCGTTTCCTTCGAAAAAATTTTTATTCTTTGGCCTCTAATGACATTTATTGAAAAGAAAATTATTTGTTTGTCAAATTTTCAGCCCGATTGTGAAGAAGACGATAAGATTATATTCTGTGATGGCTGTAATCTGAGCGTGCATCAATCGTGTTATGGACTTGATTTGGTGCCTCAGAATGAGTGGCTTTGTCAGAAGTGTGCTCTGCTCGGCATTAATGTAACATTCTCGGACATTTAGCTTTTTGCAGTTTCAAATGAAGAAGCTCATAAGTGTGAGATTTGGGATATCGATGATTGTTTAATTGTGGTAATAATGCGGACTGGACCAGCTTCACCTTTCATTTTCGTCCTTAAGGTGCATAATTCTACCGGCCTTCTCTGAAGTATCCTTATGAACAGTGCCGTCATGTCCCATACGTCTGTTTGTTTTTATCCCCTGAGTCGCTTGTTTTCTTTCTTTACAGGTTCTAGTATTATTGGGTGTTCAAGCTCGCCCTGGAAATGCCAGCACTTCAGTCTGTTAGCTGGTAAATTATGAGCCACAATCATGAAAATTTTTATTCTTTTAATTTTCACGGGGTTTCAGGTGTTTCCTAATTGCGCGCTGTGCCCTCTAACGGGGGGCGCAATGAAATGTACGGAATGTGGTTACATATGGGCGCATATTGCTTGTGCGCTCTGGATATCTGAAGTGCGATTCGTCGACTTCGTGCATCGTGAGCCCATCGCAAATATCTGTGATGTTCCATTGGAACGATGGATGCTCAGGTGTGCTTATGACTCTGATGCACTTTGAGCATTAATCTCAGTTACTTAAGGAATTTTTGTTTTAATTACGAGTTTTTCGAATTTGATTTGGTTTTAAGTAGATATTTAGATAATAGTTTAAAAACCGAAAGTTAGACATCTCTCCGTAGGCGAGAACCACTCGAATATATGACTAGTTGGAAGTCCTAGCAGCAGCAACATTATATGTCGGTAGAAAGTTTTTTATTGAACGGTCCAATCCTAGAAAGATGTAGTTGTTTCACTAGTGAAGCTCAATCTTTCAACCTTCTACATGTCAGCAGCTTTGTTATCCACTTCATCGTGCCTGCTAGTTTTGCTTAGATGCTTTGATCAGCTGGAGCCCATTGCGTCTTTTTGCAGTAGGCAGCAAAAACGCATATTGCAACGACCCTGTCAGTGTGTGCGTGTGTGTGTGTGTATGTTTGTGTGTGTGTGTGTGTTCGTCTGTCCGGGTATTTCAACTCGCTAAC